CCGTGCCCAATTCCAGCACCACACAGGTTTGACAGTTTGGGGAGGGGGCCATCAGTGACACTTCACCTTTGTAACGCTCTCTTTAGATTTTTTACCAAACGTTCTATACCTCTTGTGCCTGAGGGAGAGTTGTGGCATTCGCAGAACTGAGTAGGCTGTTTTGTTTGCAGTGATTATTGATTTATAAATGGAAATTTTAACACCAGGTTTATAGCCTAAGGCCTTACCTTCATCCTCTGCTATCAGTCTGTATTAAATATTCCAGGAGAATACTTTACACCTTTAGCCAAACTGCATTTTACCAATTTTAAATTAACTCTTTGAATATTTACCCAACACCTGACCAGTAATAGTATTTCTCTGAGCACCGTTATTCAAGGAACACTGAAGGGTTTTCAGTTCTGGAAGTTATGTGTCCATTAAGGGAAAGCCAAATGAATATTCCCTACCTGAAATGCATTCTTAGAATAGCAAAAATATCAAAACAAAGAGCATCCCAGGGAAGCCACATATATTTGGAGAGATAGCCTGCTCTCTCATTATACTCATTGGCACTCAGTCTGTGCTCTTCTAATTTCTGTTGGTTTAAAGTAGATTTAGCAAATGCAAGAAAAAAAATCCTTGGGCTCAAGCTAGTGAAAAGTCCTTATCTGATACCTAAAAAGAATAGAAAATATCTGGGTTAGAACAGAAAAACCTCTGTAAACTTAACTTCAGAGTCATTTGTGTGGCTGTGCAGCAAAAGGGAATGTTTTAAGGCTTTTACTTAAGATTGATTTATTTAATTAATGCCATTTCTTTCAGTTCTTATGTTTCAGTCTTTGAAGAGGGCTTAGAAATTACTTCTTAGTGGAAAAAATCTCCAGGGATCAATGTGGAATTTAAACTCTCTTGGATCTATCCTTTAATGAGCTTCCTATAGTTTTTTCCTCATAAAATGTACCAACAAGATGTTCACCACTTGTGTGTGAGCTACAAATACCTTAAAGACCTGCTACTTCAGCAAAATAGATTTTATATAACATGGAATTAAGTATGTCAAACCCTAAATCTGTGGCACTCCAGACCTTTTAGAAATTCAAATACCTGCTATGGAAATCACATAAATCCCACTGTAGAAATTTGGAGTTATGCTATAAAAATAGTATCAATAAGGAAATATTTAATACTAACACATTGTTCTATTTTTTATACATATGTTTTAATGATGTTCCTCCAGTTCTTTTAGAATTTTTTTGACCACAGATTGTTCCAAGTGAAAAAGAATGATATAAAGAGTCTCAAAAAAGATTTGAGAATGTTTTTACTGAGATCACAGTATCTAAAAACTAAGGGACTAAGCTGAGCCAGCAAGGCCAGTTCAGTATTCCACTTGTTTTTTAAGTATCTCCCAAAAGTTTCCACCCTTGGGAGTGAAAATATTCTTCTGGACAGCTAGATAAATACAGAAGTCTTCTGCTGAAAGCCAAGGCATTAGTCTAGATTTATACTTCTGCAACTAAAAGCAAAATTCAGCACAAACTGCGGAGAAAAATTATGCCAATTAGCAGTGCTTGTTTATTTAATAATTTTAGAAATGCACTTTTTATGTGCTACTTCATCCAAATGGAGCACAGGTATCTCCATGGGGTTTGAAACTGGATGAGTTCCACCAAAGTAGTTGAAAGCTTAAGAGTTTGTATGTGCTTGAAATTTCTTGCCAGCCTTAAAGGAAGAAAATTTTTATAGTTAGTCTTCTCCTCTCCTGTAAAACTGAGGTTTTATACTTCCCCTCACCTACATGTCCGTGTCCTTGCCAGTAGCATGCTTTTCAAGTTTATACAGAGGTGACTGACATAACCAACTTGTCATCAAGGAAGCTGAGCATACTGGAAACATGTTCTTCCTTCTCTCTTACAGAAAATACTTGCTGATGCCTTTCCATTCCCCCTCACACACAGAGTTTAGGAGTTAATGAGACCAGGAGTCCTCTAAGGACAGCTAGTTTTACCCAGTTCCTTCAGATGCTGATCCTGCTGTAGTCTCCACCCTTTTGCAGAGTGCCATGACTTGCTATAATGAAAGCTTCTTTCATTATCCCCTTGCAGGAGTGTGTTGCTGTTACCAGGATCATTTCTTGTTGCTGAATCATCCCAGCCACAGCTAATTGAAATGCCAGGCAGGCTCCAAGGATAGAGCCATTTGTTTCATCTCTGCATTTCCATAGACAGAAGCAGGTTTTCACCATGCTGATAGAAAAGAGGATGATGGGAAAAGGGCTGCTTTGTAGATTCTCCTCCAGTCCCCTTTGCACCTGGCTATGGGA